GGGGGGAGCGTTTTATTTCTTTATTTTCCATCTCAGCTGAAGTGGGGCCAAGAAAAAATAAAAAAACGTCTCTTGGCCGAGTTAATTACCTCCAGACATGGAGGCAGGGAGTGGCACTCAGGAGCTCAATAAGCTGTGCATGATGGACGGCCTATAAAGCCCAGCAGGTACAGTAACCGGGGTGGGGGGGGTCCTCTGAGGAACATCCCAGAGAATCTGCTTACACATCACACACATAATGGCATTCTTCCTGCCACAACATTAAAATGATTCACTGAACGTAAGGAGGGAGGAGGAGCAAATATCTGCACCCTTCATCACACAATTACGTGTGCAACTGAGGGTCTGTTAGCAAAAAATCTCCTGGACCACTGACTGTACATCTACAAATAACTACCTCAGTTAAAATTATACAAAATGGCCACCCCAGCCAACACAGAAATGGCTATAACTCTGACCGTTTGACAGGTATTGGATAAAAATGTGACGTGGTAGTAGCTGAGAGTCATTCACAACATATTCTGAGCAGAACACCTTGAACTACTGCACAAGGTCACTTATACTGCACAGGGCAGCCGAAAGTCCCAGTTCCATGCAGCCATGCCCACATGTTGCGGTGTCTCTGAGCAGGACACCCAATCCCCAATCGCTCCCCGGGCGCTTGCATAGCTGCCCACTGCTCCACCTGGGTGCATGCGACGGGGTAAATGCAGGGAACTAATTTCGTCATTGTATGGGAACATGAAGACAACACATGGCACTTTAATTTTAATAAAATCATTTTCAAGGTTTGACCTACAAACAGCTAAAAACGTCGTCAGTGAAACTTCAGCATTGGAAAGGTGCGGGTGAGTTGTGTGAATGCCTTTTTTTTCCCTTTTGCTACTTTTAGATTGTGGCTAGCCTGTTGCTACTTTGGCTTAGCTAGTCTTTTTATATCTTTTGCTAGACTTGTTCTACGTTTAGCTTCTTTAGCTTTTAGCTGGCCTATTGCAGCATTTAGCTGGCTTGTTACTATATAGGCTTGTAGCTAGACTTCTACTTTAGCTTGACTTTAGATCAATTTTGCTATGAGCTAGTCGTTTGCTACTGTTAGCTTGACTTTTGTTACTTTTAACGATGATTTATTTCAGGTTGCTGTGTTCATTCGTCCTCATCTGCTCACACAGACTCATGTTCGTGCTGCTGTTGTTTGGCACATTGTTTTGTACTAGTGCTTCGTGTGTTCTTAGTTCATGTCTTGGATCTTATTCCGGTTTTTCTTTACAATTTGTATTTTTGTTGAATGAAACTGGGACCCTGTGTACATAGTTTCGTTCCACCTCATGTACCACATGTGATGTGAATGACAGTGAAGAACCTTGAATCCTTAAGCAAAATTCTGGTATTTTTAGCTTATTGCTAGCCTGTTGCTATATTAGCTTTTAGCTAGCTTTTGCCTACTTGAGTTATTTTTTTCCTTTTGCTTGCAGCTAGTCCTTTTCTATTTTTAGCTAGCCTTTTGCTACATTTAGTTATCATTTTGTTACTTTTAGCTTGTTACTATTTAGGCTTTAGGTATCCTTCTACTTTAGCTTGTCTGTAGCTTCTTTTTGTTATGAGCTAGTCGTTTGCTACCGTTAGCTTGACTTTTGTTACTTTTAACCAACGTTTTGGTATGTTCAGCTTATAGTTAGCCTGTTGCTATATGAGCTTTTAGATAGCTTTTACCTACTTTTATTTAGCCTCGAGTTATTTTTTTCTTTTGCTTGCAGCTAGTCCTTTTTTATTTTTTAGCTATTCTTTTGCTACATTTAGCTATCCTTTTGCAACTTTTAGCTAGCTTGTTAGTACTTAGGCTTTTAGCTAGCCTTTTTCTACTTTAGCTTACTTTTGCTATGAGCTAGTCATTTGACACCGTTAGCTTGACTTTTGTTAGTTTTAGCAAACCTTTTGATATTTTCAACTTTTAGCTACCTGATTGCTACATTAGCTTATAGCTAGCCTTTACCTACTTTTAGTTAGCCTTTAGTTTTTTTTTTTTTGCTTATTTAGTCGTTTTCCATTTTTAGCTATCCTTTTGCTACATTTCGCTATCCCTCTGTGACTTTTATCTTGTTACTACTTAGGCTATAGCTAGCCTTCTTCTACTTTAGCTTATTTTTGATATGAGCTAGTCCTTTGCCATTGTTAGCTTGACTTTTGTAAGTTTTGACCAACTTTTTGCTATTTTTAGCTCATAACTAGCCTGTTGCTACATTCGTTTTTAGCTAGCGTTTTCCTACTTATAGTAGTCTTTTAGTTGTTTTTGTTGTTGTTTTTTCTTGAAGCTAGTCCTTTTCTATTTTTTAGCTTGGCCTTCGATACCTTTAGCTAGCCTTACTTTAACTTTTAGCAAATCTTTTGCTGCTTTTATCTAGAGGTTCGTTACTTTTAGTTTCTAGACGGAACTGAAAAAGACAAAGAGGAGATGTATGGATGAGGACAGAGTGAGACGGAGTGAGAGAGTGAGTGGTAAAGAAGGAACAGCCAAAAGAAGAAAACAGTTCTAGATACTTCTGCTTCTTTTAGCTTTAACTCGGTTTAGGCAAAATCATTTAGTATTTTTATATGAAATACTCTCTCTTTAGTTTTGGGAGTTTTCGTTGGGTCAGTGCTGCAGTGTTGTAACACCGAGGCTGCCGGTTCGAGTCCCGGTTGTGTCAGGGTGCTCAGTGTAAAACAACTTTTGAAAAGTTTGTTGTGGCGACTCTTGACGAAGGAAGCAGCCAAAAACCAGCAGCTCTGTGTCTTTAGCTTGGACACTGTTGGCGCCTGCTCCTGGCACGAAGAGGACGTTTTGTTGGACCAGTGAGGATGAAGATGTCGGGGCAGATGTAAAACCGCTCCACCTCACCCTTCCAACACTCAGGGTGATGATTTACACACGTAGCTGCTCTTAGAGGTAAATAAATGTGTGTTTAGCTGCCTTGATTTGTGCCTTTTGGAAACTCATCCCGTTTTTCCGCCTTTTCGTGAGAAGTGTCTGGATTTAGAGGGTCAGGAAGCACTTACCAAAGGTTTTTATTGACAGGAATAAATCCTCCGTCTCGTGTGCACTTACAGAGGGCGGCTGCAGAGGTTCCCTGAGGGTGGAAATGAAACAGATTTCAAATCGATGGAGGGCGATAAAGCAATACGTGTCGGGCTGCTAGAAAACAAGCGGCAACAGATGGTGGGTCCGGCAGATTAAGCGATCATCCGAGAGTCAAAACGAGCGAAACGACCGTCTGAACAACGACGTTTGAATACATCGATCACCCGCCTGAATCCACCCGTCCCTGAAAGGCAATAGGCAGGCGATAATGATTTGCACGTGTGCTAAAATGTGCAAAATATCAAAAGAGCCACTAGAACAGGGGTGTCCAGATGTTTTCATCATGGAGCTCCTTTTAAAGTGCCCAAGTCAAAGTGAGCTACCTGCTACAAGGCCCCGTTTACACAGAACAACCTCTGGAAACTTTAGTGTTGTAGTTTCCATGTCAGTTGGGTTGCCAGTTAAGAACTTATGAACTATAGCACTGTGGCTTTAAAATGATAGTACTTTAACCTAAACTGTCACATGTGCTGAGTAAAGATATTCTAAGATGAGGTGTGTGGTGTGTTTGTTGAACATGTGCACGGAAAAGGAGAAGATACATAAGACATTTTTAATTTATCTGGCAACGCTGATGCAGGGCTCAGCTGCATCCATCGTGCATGCAGCGTCTGCATGACAGTTGGTGAAGACACCAACGTCTCTTTGGAGCCTGGAGTTTATCAGTTTCGCTCCTACAAGCTGAAAAATGGTGAGCAGCACAAAAACACTCTGCTCTCTGACATTTATTATAACTGTTGTTATTCATTATAATTGTTGTTATATTTATTATAACCGTTATATTATTATAACTGTTATATTATTATAACTGTTATATTATTATAACTGTTATATTTATCTCCCCACCATCACAGACATCTAGACCTCCAGATGCAGGAAGAGGGCCATCTGCATCATGAAGGACCACACTCACCCAGCACACACACTTTTTGCCCCGCTCCCCTCAGGAAGGAGGTTGAGGAGCATTAAGTGTAGAACCACTAGACTGAGGAACAGCTTCTACCCTGAGGCTGTTAGACTCATGAATCTTTAACCAGAATAATCACTGTGATGCTTTAATTGGTGATATGTGACTTATCTGTGCTGCTGATCTCATGCTGCTGATTATCTCATGCCGCTGTATTCATTCGTACTCATCTGCTCACACAGACTCATGTTCAGGCTGCTGTTATGCCGTATTGTTTTACATTATTAGCGTATATCTTAGATCATATCTACTCTTTCTTTTTACACTTTATATTTTTGCTGTTGTTGGGTGTAACTGGGACCGTGTGTACATAATTTCCTTCCACCTCATGTACCAAATGACAATAAGGTTGACTTGAACTTGAGCATTTGCATAGCATTTCACTCCTCCCTGTGGGGGTTCCTCTGAAAACCTCCGCTCTGAGACCTGGACTCAGAAACCTTCAGTCTCAGAGGACGAGGATGTCGTCTGTAAATGAACGTCTCACGTCGTGTAAACGTGGCCTCAGACTGGCTGCCCCGTCTGTCAATCAAGAGACGAAGTTCATCGATGATCGGCTGACGTCTGGTTTTTAATGCATCTACCCAGAATCCCTTTGAGCAGAGCGCCATCGACGTGTTGGGCACCCCTGCTCTAGAGATTTTAATGAAACTTTCACAAGGTAATATTGCTACAGCTAAAGGACCTTGGCCCACACAAACTTTTACAATGTACAGATATTGAGCTAAGATCAGGTGTGGTAGTAGCTGAGACTGAGCCCCATCACGTCCTCCGAGTGTGATTTTATTTTAACGCACCTTAAATTTATTCGAGCTGACCAAATCAGCTACAGCTCTGACCGTCTCAAAGTGGATCTTACTGGTATGAGAGTCAGCGTGCGACGTGCATTTATTCTTGAAGTCTCGTAGAGAAGCAGAACCTGAGAGCCGCTGCACCGCCCCGAGTTTTTATTGACCCATTTTATTCATCTTCACACGCGACGTAGACGCATGAAGACAGGTTCCTGCAGCGGAGAGAAACCTGGAGCGGATCAGAATCCAATCATGCTCGTTAGGCGGGTATCCATCATGTGTACGGATGACAGAATCAATGGGGTGGAAATAGCCTGGCTGGGGCGGGATCGTGTCTCCGGGCCATGCAGGCAGCAGGATGGGGGGGGGGGGGGGGGGGGGTGGGGGGGGGGGGGGGGCTGGTATGTGGGGCAGTCGCTCAATTTCAATCCCACACTCCTGGATTCGATCGTTGAACTTTAATTAACCGAGGCGCTTGTTTATCATGAGGAAGAGGCATGGCTGCCCGCTGTCGTTTACTGTACTGTTCGGCTGCAGAGACCCAGAACCGCTCTGAGGTCCGGCCGTTCTGAAGGCCCGCCGGGTCGTGTCTGTGTAAATAGAAGCACATCAGCAGGCATGAAGTAGGAGGCCTCAGTCTCAACACCGAGGCCTCGCGGGTCACTTTGACCCAAGGGCAGCAGGAGGGTTGGAGCAAAGAGAGACTTTTATTGTGTGAACGCTGAGTCGGCGTCATTAAAGTTTCTCCTGGACCTTTTGTTTTTTCAGCTCCACCAGGAATCGTCTGCTTTGATCTTTAGTATTTAAAACTTTATACCTATTTATTTAATTAACTTGATTTACAAACATTTTCCACGTATAAATTCCATCAGTTCATTCCAAATACTTGTTCTCTGAAATCTACTTCGCCACACTGGCTTTGTTTTTGTTACTTGTACTACCTTTAGCTTTTAGCTACTATCTTGCTAGTTTTAGCTTTTAGCTATTGTCTTGCTAGTTTTAGCTTTCAGTGACTGACTTGCTAGTTTTAGCTTTTAGCTACTATCTTGCTAGTTTTAGCTTTTAGCTACTATCTTG